GTCTAGGCCCCTTGCTTTTTTCCATCTTTACTAACGACATGCCACTGGCTTTGAGTAAAGCCAGTGTGTCTATGTATGCAGATGACTCAACACTATACATGTCAGCTACTACAGCAACTGAAATAACTGCAACACTTAAAGAATGGGTGGCAAGGAGGAATAAGTTAGTCCTGAATATTTCCAAAACTAAAAGCATTGTATTTGGGTCAAATCATTCACTAAACCCTAAACCTCAACTACATCTCGTAATGAATAATGTGGAAATTGAGCAAGTTGAGGTGACTAAACTACTTGGAGTAATCCTGGATTATAGACTGTCATGGTAAAAGCAAATTGATAAAACAGTTGCTAAGATTGGGAGAAGTATGTCCATAATTAAGCGCTGCTCTGCCTTCTTAACACTATCAACAAGGCAGGTCCTACAGGCCCTAGTTTTGTCGCACCTAGACTACTGTTCAGTAGTGTGGTCAGGTGCCACAAAGAGGGACTTGGGAAAATTGCAGTTGGCTCAGAACAGGGCAGTACGGCTGGCCCTTAAAAGCACACGGAGAGCTAACATTGATGACATGCATGTCAGTCTCTCCTGGCTCAGAGTGGAAGAGAGATTGACTTCATCACTGCTTGTTTTTGTGAGAGGTGTCGACGAGCTGAATGTACCGAGCTGTCTGTTTGTAATACTGGCACACAGCTCGGACACCCATGCATACCCCACTTGACATGCCACCAGAGGTCTCTTCACAGTCCCCAAGTCCAGAACTGACTATGGGAGGTGTACAGTACTACATAGAGCCATGACTACATGGAACTCTATTCCACATCAGGTAACTGATGCAAGCAGTAGAATCAGATTTAAAAAACAGGTACAAATACACCTTGTGGAACAGCGGGGACTGTGAAGAGACATACACACATACATACAGACACTCACTCTACACACACGTACACATGGATGTTGTATTGTAAATATGTGATAGTGGAGTTGTGGCCTGAGGGAACACACTAAATGTATTGGGTAAAGTATTATGAAATATAATGTCATATTTTAAATTGTATATAACTGCCTTAATGTTGCAGGACCCCAGGAAGAGTAGCTGCTGCCATGGCAGGAACTATTGGAGATCCTTAATAAACCCCAGGAAGAGTAGCTACTGCCTTGGCAGGAACTAATGGGGATCCTTAATAAATACAAATACAAATGAGAAGGGTAGCCTACTCTTGATTCAGAGGGGTTTGGTTAAATGCGGAAGACACATCTCGGTTGAATGCATTCAGTTGTGCAACTGACTAGGTATCCCCTTTCCCTGCTTTCAAGACCAGATAAGAGGACAATATTGGCCTACCTGAAGTGTGAGGTGACCAATTCAGGACTGTACGCAGCTAAAGGGCTGCTGGTTGCTCTGGTTATAGACATCCAGGCTGTCATACAGAAGGTTCAGGGACAATATCCACAAATTATCTCAGAGTAGGAGTGTTGGTCTAGGACCAGTCCATAAGACCTTATTATTATGATCTAAAAGGGCAAAACTGATCCTAGATCAGCACTCCTATTCAAATTGCTTTGTGAATACGGGCCCTGATCCTCATCTAGCTCCTGAGTAGGGGTCTGAAGTCATCTCAGTTCACAGTTCATCACATTGTGTCAGCCTACCTCACAACCTGTATACCGGGGTGGAAACTCAGTCTGGAAACCCACCAATGTAAAATCCTTGAATTCACCTTAAAGATATATTCTTTACATGTCAAAATTATTTCCCTCCCAGAATCCCCCATGGCTGTATATAACACAAATGACCACTGCCATATATTTTGTATGTTTAGCCAGTTTCATCAAATGCCAGTAACATTTGCCGACATTTCCCTCTGCAGGAACCCATGACAGCGGCATGGCCCATTGGCAAGGAGATGATGCAGTCGTCTGGATTCTTAATACAATGAAATAAGCCTGGGGTAGTAGGACTTAACTTACGTCCTAACTATAGGCTACATCCCTATACTATACCCTCCCAGGCAAACCAATGACTGCGCCCCTACCAGTCAGGTGAAATCCATAAATTAGGGCCAAATGAATTCATTTCAATTGACTGATTTCCTTCTATGAACTGTACCTCAGTAAAATCTTTGAAATTGTTGCATGTTGCCTTTCTATTTTTGTTCAGTATATATAGCTAACCTACAACTTATTATCGCGTTCACTGTCAAACCTACACTGCCGTGCAACCATTCAGAGACCCAAATACTGTTAAACACATTCATGGTGGAACATTTGTTGGTGGATGATCAGACCATAAAGTGTATACGGTTGTGTTCAGCTGTGTTTTCCCCCACCTAAAAGATTTTGGCTCCTATCGGTTTCAATTGACAATTGTGATGCCAGACACAGGCCTGGATGTTGCTTTGGGGGCCCATTGGAAATTAAACTTGAGTAAACACTGGCCTAAGGGACCTTGGCTAGATAACATTTAAGTGAACCAGTTATGTAGCGTTGTCAGTTACCTGCATTGCTGTCAATGCTCATCCTGGACTGGTCAGTCCACGGAACAGCTCCAGATCGCTCCCAGACAAAACTGGAGGCGGCAATGCCGGCGAAGACAGCGAGTCGTGCCAATCAAAAGAGCTGTCAAAGAAGGTATTCAGTGGCACGCTAGGAAGTCCACAGTACGCCAGCAGTTCCGCCAGTGGGGATGCCTTCAGGCTGGCAGACAAACAGGCGGGCGACGCAAGGGGGCAAGCGTCTTGGCAAAAACCTTGCGTTGGGTTGGCATGCCTTTCGGTCGAGTAGAGCTGGCATCTCTAGGCCACTACCAGACTGCCCCTCTCTCCAGTCCGGTAGTCGAGAGAGAACCCACACCGTCATGCTGTGGAACAAACGTAGCATTGGCGAGGAGAAAGGCTGTTTTTGAAAAGTGTCTTGTCTCTAAAGTCTATAAAGGCTTTGTAGTGAATGGGGTTGTAAATAGGCGTTGTGAATCACAATGAATCGCGGCCTGCTGAGCTTTGGGGATCAGATGGGTTTAATCAGATGGTTTTAATTAATAGCAGACGTTTGATAGCCAACTCGGCTATTGAAGGGATGGGGCGGGATAATGCGGTGCGCGCCAAGGTTTCACCGTTTGCTTTTTTGTTTAGTTCCAGCGCCCACTGAGGCACAGATAAGCAGACTAATCGATGTTTATCGTAAAGAGAACTGTCAGTCACACATCTATCCTGGTCTTTACCATTAAAATTGTGTGTAGTTACCTTCAATAATTGCCCCTTGGGGATGAATAGAGTAGATGGAATAAAAACTGTAATCTCCCCTGGCCCATAAACTATCTGCAAAATGGGAATTTTAATTGACATTTTAATCAATTCTCTCATTTGAGCATACAAAGGCAATCTAATAGAGACGAGAGACCAATAATAATAAAAAAATCTCAAAAGTAATTAAATGTAAAGTCTTATTGTAACCCCAGAGGTGGTGCTTGTTGCTTTAGCGGTCAAACCCTGCCATCAAACGTTACACAGGGGGACTAAGTAGACTACAGATGCTCTTCTCTTTGAAGAAACATGGGCGCCTGTGGTAGAACAAAGTAACAGCTGAACAACATAAGTAGTTTGTTGGAAAATAAGAACCATGACAACCTCTGATTGACCTGCATGTTAGAACTCAAGACGCATGACTTCAATTATAGACAAAGACCCAGAAAGAACATCTACAAAGACCCAATAAAGGACTTCAACAAAGACCCAACAAAGGACTTCAACAAAGACCCAATAAAGGACTTCAACAAAGTACTTCATCAAAGGACTTCAACAAAGGACTTCAACAAAGACCCAACAAAGACCCACAAAGGACTTCAACAAAGACCCAACAAAGGACTTCAACAAAGACCCAACAAAGACCCACAAAGGACTTCAACAAAGACCCAGAAAGGACTTCAACAAAGACCCAGAACTTCAACGCATAATGAGTAGCTAAGACCAGAAATGAAAACCGTCGCACATCCCAAAGACCCCCAGTATAACTTTTCCAAATGGACTGGCATGTCTTGTGTGATGCGAGGGCACCACCTGGTGGAGATGTTGTATGAGTGCACTAACTGAGGTTAACCCTTATCAATATATAGAACTGGTAAACTGACCTCATTGTCAATTCAAACTATTTAAAAAATGGTATGAAATGGGTTTTAAGTATCAAAAGTTCCCATTCCAAATAAAACAATATTCCAGTAGACTTTTCAACATCCCCGAAAATCATTGGAGGTGTCAGGTGAAAAGCAACTAGAGAACATATAAACATTAGCCTTGTCCCAGCTCTGTTTGCGTTGCCAACTGCTGTGGTCATTGTCAAACCCCTATTGGAGTTGGTAAGATGGCACAAACCGATCTGGGACTAGGCTACGGCAAAACAGCAGTGCAGAGATAACACAATTCAGTCTTGCGAGTCGCCAGCACAAAAGGTAGTAGGACATCATACAGCAAAGATAATTTTTAATGGTCCCAAATATTTCTGAACAACTAAGTATACACTCATGTAAAAGAAAACAAAAAAAATGAGAAGATATGACAAAATTGATCACATCTAGAATTCCACTCAATCTTTAATCAAGACGGGATTACAAATTATTTTTCCCAAAAAATCTGCAGTTTCAAAGGGCAAAAAAGGGTCAAACTAGCTCAACCTACTGAGGTCTTTAAAAACCTGTTCAAGTGCGACTGAAAATGTCCTGAACATGTAAAGGCTGGGTTGTTTACAAAAACATGAGAGAGGGAGAGATGGTCAGAGAGAGAGAGAGAGAGAGAGAGCAAGAGAAAGAGAGAGAGAGTAAAAAGACAAAATAAGAAACTGCTGGCTTTTTTCTATCAAGAGGAAGAACTTCCCTCTGAGCGACGACATCAAAAGGAAAAACAGACAGCGTTTTCGCCGCGCCGGTGTCTGCCGTCTCCCGTCTGGTCCTAGAAACTAACTTGGTTAAAAACAAAAACGAAAAAACAACAAAAAACGGACAGAGAAAAGGGGGGGGAGAATGTAGCGGATGGAGGACAGAGAGAGAGGAGCTGAGAGGAGGAGTCAGCGTAGGGGGTGAGTGGTGGTGGTTCTGCTTCTGGATTGGCCGGCCCCATTTTGGGGGTCGCTGCAATGTCCTTCCCTGAGTGGGGGGTTGGGGGTGGGGCAGTGAGTCATGGTCTGAGCCCGCAAGCTCTTTGGGGTTTTTGTTTGTAGCGAGTGTGTGTGTAGATAAATGTGATATTTTAGCTTTGTTGAATTAGAAATCGTCAGTCCGCCCCTTTTATCTGACGCCAATATCGGAAATAGTATTTTCTCCACGCCTTTCTCTCTTGTCCGTTCGTTTGCTGCGTTCGCTCCTAGCTCCACGGCCTCCAGATTGGCACTTGTATATTGGGATTAGTCCGAGGAGACGCGTTTCCATTCATAGTCCACTCCTCAAAAAGAGCCACCATTGAAAACCAAGGGGGTGGGGTCATTCATGGTTTTAACAGTTTTTGTTAGTTTTCTGTGCCTATCGTGGGATCGGTGGAAAATAGTCTGGCGCTCTGAGAGAGGAACAATATTAACGTTTTTTTATTTTTATTATTAGGAGCTCAGCTTGGACTTCTTGGACAGGGGCGGAGTCTCCTCTTTACTCTCGCCGTCCTCTTCCTCCTCGTCGTCGTCGGGGTAGTCCACCAGCCCCACCAGACCTCCCTGAGAGAGATGGAGAGATAATTCATCTATTCAGATCTGATCTTCAGATTTAAAGAAGAAACAAAAATAACTACTAAACTCCAGACCTGGGGGCCACATCAGGACCACAAGAAACTTTCTTGGGGCCCACAGACTGATATCTGCTTCCCATCCAGAGGACTTCTTCCCTATTGGAATCAACCCAATGCACAACTACGTTTATTACTATCGCATATTACATGCCACATATCTTTGGAGTAACCATAGACCACATACGCTGGCACAACAATCTACATAACGGCTGCAACAAGTCCAACCACTAACATAGAATGCTAGCAAATATGTTAAATGAGCACCTAACACCACACAAATAATATTTTGCACAATGTTGGCATTACTCAAAATGGCCACCTATAACAGCAGCAAGATGGGTGTTGGCCCCCAGGTAATTTGAGTTTGAGACTCCTGCATTAGACTGTGCAAAGCTAGCAGACACCTCACCTTTCAAGGAGGGATAGTTCATCCAAATAATGCTAATTTGGGGTAAAACTACTGGTTTTTGGTTTGCAAATGCTAAAAGTCAGCGGTTGTTGGCAGTTGCTCTGTAAACAAACCCAAAGTGTGGATTGCAGTCTGTCCTTCTCCAGACTGCTTTCAAGGTAAGGAAAACAAAATGTCCATGTTATACTATGGGTAAACTATCCCTGTCTTCTGTAACACCTAAACTACTAAACCACCTCCCAACCCCCCCCCAAAATCACCCCATTATTATGCACAGAATGAAGACTACTGACAAACTGGGAGGGTTACCTGGATTTTCATTTTCCATCGGGAAACATTGAACAAATATTTTCTGTTGTTCCGTGCCTTAAGGAACACATGGAGGTGGGTTAGCTACTACTACCCACCTTGGTGGTGACTGCTGTCGGGGGCGAGCCCTTGGCCCCTGGCGATCCTGGGGAGCCTGGCGAGCCGGGGTGCAGCGAGGCGGAGGAGGGCGGGCTGGACAGGCTGGTCTTGGTAGTGGAGCCGGAGAAGGACAGCTTGAAGCTGGGGCTCTGGCGGCCCGACAGACTACTGGACTTGCCCAGAACTTCCTTGTCGTCTGAGTCTTTCACTGTGGGGCCGAGAGACCGAGATACAGACAGTTGTAGGCCGTCAGTTTGACCGTTTTTAAAGACGCAAGACACGACTTACTTCGTTCTCAGTACATAGAGTATGTCAGCTACCGTCGAATGTATGAGCTGCGCTTACATTGTGTTTACTCAGAGCAACAGAACCAATTGCATAATCCCAAAAGTACAAATTCCAAGCCAAAACAGGTGTAACCTAAAAACTGTATTTCACATAACATGTATTTGAACCAGGCCAGTTCTGCCAGCAATTCATGCATTCTTTCCCTGCGACCTACGTTTCTTCCTCTCCATGAACTTGCTGATGGGGTCCATGAGGTCTTCGTTCTCCGCGGCGCCGCTAGTCTTGGTGGTCTTGTTGTCCGAGGGGGGCACCACCGCCTCGCCGTCCTCCAGCTCGTCCTCGTCCGCGTTGAACCACATCTCCTCGTCGTCGTCCAACGTCCGTGCGTCCCGGCGGAAGCGGTGGTTCCTCAGGATGGACCGCATGCTGTGTGAAGGGAGGTGACCAACGGTTACGCCTGACCGTGACTGTAGAGTCGACTTACAGATACATCATGAATAGCAATCAATAAGAACCGGCGGATTCCAAACTGTAAAATGTTTTAAAACATTGGTAAAGCCAATAGTGGAGGGGCATAACTATAACGGCCCCCATGCACTTTTCACAAATTGCCATGTTCTCATTACTGTACAGTGCTCTCCGTTACTCTTTTCTCGTACAGTCATCAGCACAGTGCACATGATCCCAATTCTAGCTTCAAGACGCCGGCAATTAGAAAAAACTAAAAAGTAGATTGTGCTGATTTATTGGCACATTGTACCATGTTGCCTGCCGTAGTTTAAACAGTCAGTGGACAGCGCTAAAACAATGACATATCTTTTAATTCTGCCATCTTTATGCATTTTCGACCATTAGATCGAGTCGCGGCAAAAGACAGTAGCACTAGCCAATCGGATTCCTTCAAAGCCAAAAAACGACCACTCACTCACCCTGTAGCTAACGGCAGTCATTCCCAAACAACCACAGATAGAACGCCCACCACCAACTCCAAACATCACTACCAGAATTTTGATTCCATCTGTCCTTCCATCCATTAAATCACTCATCCAACCATTGTCAATACATTACCTGTCCAGTTTGGGGTTGTCAATACATTACCTGTCCGCTTCGGGGTTGTCAATACCTTACCTGTCCAGTTTGGGGTTGTCAATATATTACCTGTCCAGTTTGGGGTTGTCAATATACACTGCTCAAAAAAATAAAGGGAACACTTAAACAACACAATGTAACTCCAAGTCAATCACACTTCTGTGAAATCAAACTGTCCACTTAGGAAGCAACCCTGATTGACAATAAATGTCACATGCTGTTGTGCAAATGGAATAGACAACAGGTGGAAATTATAGGCAAATTAGCAAGACGCCCCCAATAAAGGACTGGTTTTGCAGGTGGTGACCACAGACCACTTCTCAGTTCCTTTGCTTCCTGGCTGATGTTTGGGTCACTTTTGAATGCTGGCGGTGCTTTCACTCTAGTGGTAGCATGAGACGGAGTCTACAACCCACACAAGTGCCTCAGGTAGTGCAGCTCATCCAGGATGGCACATCAATGCGAGCTGTGGCAAGAAGATTTGCTGTGTCTGTCAGCGTAGTGTCCAGAGCATGGAGGCGCTACCAGGAGACAGGCCAGTACATCAGGAGACGTGGAGGAGGCCCAATTTATGGAGGGGCAACAACCCAGCAGCAGGACTGCTACCTCCGCGTATGTGCAAGGAGGAGCAGGAGCACTGCCAGAGCCCTGCAAAATGACCTCCAGCAGGCCACAAATGTGCATGTGTCTGCTCAAACGGTCAGAAACAGACTCCATGAGGGCGGTATGAGGGCCCGACGTCCACAGGTGGGGGTTGTGCTTACAGCCCAACACCGTGCAGGACGTTTGGCATTTGCCAGAGAACACCAAGATTGGCAAATTCGCAACTGGCGCCCTGTGCTCTTCACAGATGAAAGCAGGTTCACACTGAGCACATGTGACAGACGTGACAGAGTCTGGAGACGCCGTGGAGAACGTTCTGCTGCCTGCAACATCCTCCAGCATGACCGGTTTGGCGGTGGGTCAGTCATGGTGTGGGGTGGCATTTCTTTGGGGGGCTGCACAGCCCTCCATGTGCTCGCCAGAGGTAGCCTGACTGCCATTAGGTACCGAGATGAGATCCTCAGACCCCTTGTGAGACCATATGCTGGTGCGGTTGGCCCTGGGTTCCTCCTAATGCAAGACAATGCTAGACCTCATGTGGCTGGAGTGTGTCAGCAGTTCCTGCAAGAGGAAGGCATTGATGCTATGGACTGGCCCGCCCGTTCCCCAGACCTGAATCCAATTGAGCACATCATGTCTCGCTCCATCCACCAACGACACGTTGCACCACAGACTGTCCAGGAGTTGGAGGATGCTTTAGTCCAGGTCTGGGAGGAGATCCCTCAGGAGACCATCCGCCACCTCATCAGGAGCATGCCCAGGCGTTGTAGGGAGGTCAAACAGGCACGGAGGCCACACACACTACTGAGCCTCATTTTGTCTTGTTTTAAGGCCATTACATCAAAGTTGGATCAGCCTGTAGTGTGGTTTTCCACTTTAATTTTGAGGGTGACTCCAAATCCAGACCTCCATGGGTTGATAAATTTGATTTCCATTGATAATTTGTGTGTGATTTTGTTGTCAGCACATTCAACTATGTAAAGAAAAAAAGTATTTAATAAGATTGTTTCATTCATTCAGATCTAGGATGTGTTATTTTAGTGTTCCCTTTATTTTTTTGAGCAGTGTATTACCTGTCCAGTTTGGGTTGTCAATATATTACATGTCCAGTTTGGGGTTGTCAATATATTACCTGTCCAGTTTGGGGTTGTCAATATATTACCTGTCCAGTTTGGGGTTGTCAATATATTACCTGTCCAGTTTGGGGTTGTCAATATATTACCTGTCCAGTTTGGGGTTGTCCTGCCTCTCCCTCTGCTGTTCGTAGCGCAGCTTCAGTCCTTTAAAGGTCTGAACGTAGTTCACATCCTCCAGAGCCTTCCAGTAGTTCTCTACTATATGGGCTGTCAGGGACTTCACATCCTCCTGGGGGGAACGGGAGAGTATAGAGGGAGGGAGAAAGAGAGGGAGGGAAAAGGAGGAAGCGGGAGGGAGGAGAGGGTGGCAGGGAGGGATGGGAAGAGGGAGACCGTACCAGTTTTGTTTAATACAATGCACTGTGTCATGCATATACATACACATATACACACACACATACACACACACACACACACACACACACACACACACGTATTTCAAGGCCTACCTTCAAACTCAGTGACTCTTTGCTTGACATCATGGGAAAATCAAAAGAAATCAGCCAAGACCTCAGAAAAATTATTGTAGACCTCTACAAGTCTGGTTCATCCTTGGGAGCAATTTCCAAACACCTGAAGGTACCACGTTCATCTGTACAAACAATAGTACGCAAGTATAAACACCATGGGACCACGCAGCCGTCATACCGCTCAGGAAGGAGATGCGTTCTGTCTCCTAGAGATGAATGAACTTTGGTGCGAAAAGTGCAAATCAATCCCAGAACAACAGCAAAGGACTTGTGAAGATTCTGGAGGAAACAGGTACAAAAACTATCTATATCCATAGAAAACTAGTCCTATATCGACATAAGCTGAAAGGCCGCTCAGCAAGGAAGAAGCCACTGCTCCAAAACCGCCATAAAAAAAGCCAGACTACGGTTTGCAACTGCACATGGGGACAAATATCGTACTTTTTGGAGAAATGTCCTCTGGTCTGATGAAACAAAAATAGAACTGTTTGGCCATAATGACCATTGTTATGTTTGGAGGAAAAAAGGGGTGCTTGCAAGCCGAAGAACACCATCCCAACCGTGAAGCACTGGGGTGGCAGCATCATGCTGTGGGGGTGCTTTGCTGCAGGAGGGACTGGTGCACTTCACAAAATAGATGGCATCATGAGGAAGGAAAATGATGTGGATATTTTTGAAGCAACATCTCAAGACATCAGTTAAAGCTTGGTCGCAAATGGGTCTTCCAAATGGACAATGACCCCAAGCATACTTCCAAAGTTGTGGCAAAATGGCTTAAGGACAACAAAGTCAAGGTATTGGAGTGGCCATCACAAAGCCCTGAACTCAATCCTATAGAAAATGTGTGGGCGGAAATGAAAAGGTGTGTGCGAGAAAGGAGGCCTACAAACCTGACTCAGTTACACCAGCTCTGGCAGGAGGAATGGGCCAAAATTCTCCCAAGTTATTGTAAGCTTGTGGAAGGCTACCCAAAACGTTTGACCCAAATTAAACAATTTAAAGGCAATGCTAACAAATACTAATTGAGTGTATATAAACTTCTGACCCACTGGGAATGTGATGAAAGAAATAAAAGCTGAAATAAATAACTCTCTCTACTATTATTCTGACATATCACATTCTTAAAATGAAGTGGTGATCCTAACTGACCTAAGACAGGGAATTGTTACTATGATTAAATGTCAGGAATTGTGAAAAACTGAGTTTAAATGTATTTGGCTAAGGTGTATGTAAACTTCCGACTTCAACTGTACATACAGTACCAGTCAAAAGTTTGGACACACCTACTCATTCGAGGGTATTTCATTATTTTTACTATTTTCTACATTGTAGAATAACAGTGAAGACACCAAAACTATGAACTAACACATATGGAATCGTGTAGTAACCAAAAAAAAGTACTTCAAAGTAGCCACCCTTTGCCTTGATGACAGCTTTGCACACTCTTGGTATTCTCTCAACCAGCTTCATGAGGTAGTCACCTTGAATGCATTTCAATTAACAGGTGTGCCTTCTTAAAAGTTAATTTGTGGAATTTCTTTCCTTCTTAATGCGTTTGAGCCAATCAGTTGTGTTGTGACAAGGTAGGGTTGGTATACAGAAGATAGCCCTATTTGGTAAAAGACCAAGTGCATATTATGGCAAGAACAGCTCAAATAACCAAAGAGAAATGACAGTCCATCGTTACTTTATGACATGAAGGTCAGTCAATCCGGAACATTTCAAGAATTTTCAAAAAACATTAAGCGCTATGATGAAACTGGCTCTCGTGAGGACCGCCACCGGAAAGGAAGACCCAGAGTTACCTCTGCTGCAGAGGATAAATTCATTAGAGTTAATTGCACCTCAGATTGCAGCCCAAATGAATGCTTCAGAGTTCAAGTAACAGACATCTCAACATCAACTGTTCAGAGGTGAAATTAGGCCTTCATGGTCAAATTGCTGCAAAGGAACCACTACTAAAGGACACCAATAAGAAGAAGAGACTTGCTTGGGCCGAGAAACACGAGCAATTGACTTTAGACCGGTGGAAATCTGACCTTTGGTCTGACGAGTCCAAATTTAAGAAGCATGGAAGAGGTGGTGTGATGGTTTGGGGGTGCTTTGCTGGTGATTTGTTTAACACTTTTTTGGTTACTACATGATTCCATATGTGTTATTTCATAGTTGATGTCTTCACTATTATTCTACAATGTAAAAAATAAAGAAAAACCCTTGAATGAGTAGGTGTTTCCAAACGTTTTGACTGGTACTGTCAATACCATACATTTATAACATTTTGTTCACAAATTTGTTTACATCCCTGTTAGAGAGCATTTCTCCTTTGCCAAGATAATCCAACCACCAGACAGGTGTGGCATATCAAGAAGCTGATTAAACAGCATGATCATGACACAGGTGCACCTTGTGCTGGGGACAATAAAAGGCCACTCTAAAATGTACAGTTTTGTCACACAACGCCACAGATGTCTCAAGTTTTGAGGGATCGTGCAATTGGCATGCTGACTGCAGGAATGTCCACCAGAGCTTTTGTCAGATAATTTAATGTTAAGTTCTCTACCATGAGCCACATGACCACGTGTAACTATGCCAGCCCAGAACCTCCACAAACAGCTTCTTTACCTGCTGTATCGTCTGAGACCAGCCACCCGGACAGCTGATGAAACTGTGAGTTTGCACAATGGAATAATTTCTGCACAAACTGTCAGAAACGGTCTCTGGGTAGATCATCTGCGTGCTCGTCACTCAGGGTCTTGACTGCCCCATGGTGGCGGTGAGGTTATGGTATGGGCAGGCATAAGCTACGGACAACGAACACAATTGCATTTTATCAATGGCAATTTGAATGCACAGAGATACCGTGACGAGATCCTGAGGCCCATTGTCGTGCTATTCATCCACCACTCATGTCTCAGCATGTTAATGCACGGCCCCATGTCGGAAGGATCTGTAAACAATTCCTGGAAACTGAAAATGTCCTAGTTCTTCCATGGCCTGCATACTCACCAGACATGTCACCCATTGAGCATGTTTGGGATGCTCTGTATTGACGTGTACGACAGCGTGTTCCAGTTCCCGCCAATATCCAGCAACTTCGCACAGCCATAGAAGAGGAGTGGGATGACATTCCACAGACCACAATCAACAGCCTGATCAACTCTATGCGAAGGAGATGTGTCGCGCTGCATGAGGCAAATGGTGGTCATACCAGATACTGACTGGTTTTCAGATCCACGCCCCTACCTTTTCTTTTTAAGGTATCTGTGACCAACAGATGCATATCTGTATTCCCAGTCATGTGACATCCATAGATAAGGGCCTAATTTATTTATTTCAGTGTATATATTTGAAAATTACAATCAAAAGTTAATCACAAAAGGATGAGACATTGGAAGCGGAAGAAAACTCACCACGCGGACATACTCAAACATCTCTATGATGGCCGAGTTCATGAGGTTGTAGCGGGTACCGTTGTTGAGGAAAGCCTTGACCACGGGCTCAAACAGGAAGTTCCTTATGATGTAGCGGTTATAGAACTCGTCCTTCAGACCGATGATCCGCCGCATGAAGCGCAGCGCACCTGGAGGAGAGGGTAAGGGGGAGACAGAGAACAGACAGACAGACCGACAGTGAGAGTGAGAGTGAGAGTGAGAGTGAGAGAGAGAGAAGGGGAGAGGGTGGAGAAGGAGACAGGGAGTGTCAGCACTGTGTGACAATATAGCTTCCGTCCCTGTCTGCCCAAAGCAGAGTTAGACCCAGGGACCCTGCCACCCAAAGCCAGCCGTGCTAACTGACAGGCCAAGAGACTAGTCTATTACGTTGACTTTTGTGTCTAAGGGAAGGTAACGTCACTTGCACGATGGCCGTTACTCACGTTACTACTATCGCTAGCTACTAAGTAGTGATTTCACATCAGCTATACAGTGCATTCGGAGAGTATTCAGACCCCTTTACTTTTTCCACTTTGTTATGTTACAGCCTTATTCTAAAATTGATTAAATACTTTTTTCCCCCCTCAATCTACACACAGTACCCCATAATGACAAAGCGAAAACAGGTGTTTAGATATGTTTGCAAATTCATTAAAAATAAAACAGAAATTATTTATATAAGTATTCAAACCCTTGACAATGAGACTCAAAATTGAGCTCAGGTGCATCCTGTTTCCATTGATAATCCTTGAGATATTTCTACAACTTTTTAAAAAAGGCACACACCTGTCTATATAAGGTCCCACAGCTGACAGTGCATGTCAGAGCAAAAACCAAGCCATGAGGTTGAAGGAATTGTCCGTAGAGCTCCGAGACAGGATTATGTCGAAGGCACAGATCTGTGGAATGGTACCAAAAACAGTCTGCAGCATTGAAGGCCCCCATGAACACAGTGGCCTCCATCATTCTTAAATGGAAAAGTTTGGAACCACCAAGTCTTCCTAGATCTGGCCGCCCGGCCAAACTGAGCAATCGGGGGAGAAGGGCCTTGGTCAGGGAGGTGACCAAGAACCCGATGGTCACTCTGACAGGGCTCTAGAGTTCCTCTGTGGAGATGGGAGAATCTTCCAGAAGGACAAATATCACTGCAGCACTCCACCAATCAGGCCTTTATGGTAGAGTGGCCAGACGGAAGCCACTCCTCAGTAAAATGCACATGACAGCCTGCTTGGAGTTTGCCAAAAGGCACCTAAAGACTCTAAGACCATGAGAAACAAGATTTTCTGGTCTGATGAAACCAATATTGAACTATTTGGCCTGAATGCCAAGCGTCACGTCTGGAGGAACCCTGGCACCATCTCTACGGTGAAGCATGGTGGTGGCAGCATCATGCTGTGGGGATGTTTTTCAGCGGCAGGGACTGGGAGACTAGTCAGGATCGAGCGAAAGATGAACGGAGGAAAGTACAGGGAGATCCTTGATGAAAACCTGCTCCAGAGCGCTCAGGACCTCAGACTGGGGCAAAGGTTCACCTTCCAACAGGACAACAACCCTAAGCACACAGCCAAGACAACATAGGAGTGGCTCCGGGACAAGTCTCTGAATGTCCTTGAGTGGCCCAGCCAGAGCCCGGACTTGAACCCAATCGAACATCTCTGAAGACACCTGAAAATAGCTGTACAGCCATGCTCCCCATCCAACCTGACAGCTTGAGAGGGGAGAAACTCCCCAAATACAGGTGAATCCTCTATTTGCAACAATTACAGCCTTGCAGACCTTTGGAATTCTAGTTGTCAATTTGTTGAGGTAATCTGAAGATATTTCACCCCATGCTTCCTGAAGCACCTCCCACAAGTTGGATTGGCTTGATGGACACTTCAGCTCAATAGGGTTGAGATCCGGTGACTGTGCTGGCCACTGCATTATAGACAGAATACCAGCTGACTGCTTCTTCCCTAAATAGTTATTGCATAGTTTGGAGCTGTGCTTTGGGTCATTGTCCTGTTGTGGGAGGAAATTGGCTCCAATCAAGCGCCGTCCACATGGTATGGCATGGCGTTGTAAAATGGAGTGATAGCCTTCCTTCTTCAAGATCCCTTTTACCCTGTACAAATCTCCCACTTTACCACCACCAAAGCACCCCCAGACCATCACATTGCCTCCACCATGTTTGACAGATAGCATCAAGCACTCCTCCAGCATCTTTTCATTTGGTTTGCGTCTCACAAATGTTCTTCTTTGTGATCCGAACACCTCAAACTTCGATTCGTCTGTCCATGACACTTTTTCCTATCTTCCTCTGTCCAGTGTCTGTGTTCTTTTGCCCATCTTTTATTTTTATTGGCCAGTCTGAGATATGGCTTTTTCTTTGCAACTCTGCCTAGAAGGTCAGCATCACGGAGTCGCCTCTTCACTGTTGACGTTGAGACTGGTGTTTTACGGGTACTATTTAATGAAGCTGCCAGTTGAGGACCTGTGAGGCGTCTGTTTCTCAAACTAGAAGCTGTAATGTATTTGTCCTCTTGCTCAGTTTTGCACCGGGGCCTCCCACTCCTCTTTCTATTCTGGTTATAGCCAGTTTGCGCTGTTCTGTGAAGGGAGTAGTACACAGCGTTGTATGAGATCTTCAGTTTTTTTTGCAATTTCTCGCATGGAATAGCCTTCATTTCTCAGAACAAGAATATACTGACGAGTTTCAGAAGAAAGATCTTTGTTTCTGGCCATTTTGAGCCTGTAATCGAACCCACAATTACTGATGCTCCAGATACTCAACTAGTCTCAAGAAGGCCAGTTTTATTGCTTCTTTAATCAGCACAACAGTTTTCAACTGGGCTAACATAATTGCAAAAGGGTTTTCTAATGATCAACTAGCCTTTTAAAATGATAAACTTGGATTAGCAAACACAACGTGCCATTGGAACACAGGACTGATGGTTGCTGATAATGGGCCTCTGTACGCCTATGTAGATATTCCATTAAAAATCAGCCGTTTCCAGCTACAATAGCCATTTACAACATTAACAATGTCTACACTGTATTTCTGATCAATTCGATGATATTTTTTTTTTTAAAATGGACAAAAAAATGCTTTTCTTTCGAAAACGAGGACATTTCTAAGAGACCCCAAACTTTTGAACGGTAGTGTGTATATATAGGCTGATTATTAATTATTATTCACTCGAAAATGTTGATTATTTTGGTTTCTGTTACAAAGTAGGGCTATGCCATTGCCATTTTAAGATGCCATTGCCCCTTTAAGAGCTATGTTGCGAAGCTGCGCCTAACATGCTTGAACTCCGGTTGTACCTGCACTTGCAAAACGATGCCACTCGAGCAAGAGAAATATAAATAAACGTGGTAGCAATGGAAAACTGGGATCCCACTCTTTTTTAAAAGGCCAAAAACTGCTCACAAAATACATTTGCGTAAACTGCTTTCAAAAGTGTTTTCCTGCGATTGCATTAAGAATGGTTGTGCATTGACTGCTCGTCAGAATACGTTTCCCTCCCTATGGCTCTCGCAACTTGAATGCGCCTCGAGGGGAATATTTTTCTCACATAGAACACACAAGCCGACTAGGTAAACTATTCTACTATGGGGTTGTCTGATTTCGTTTTAATAACATTACATTGCAAAAATAGTAGCACTGGAAAGTTCCATCCTGAGTGATAAAAAGACTAGGCTATACATCGCTGTCTGAGTGATGCGCATTATAGATTAATACATTAATTCCCTTCATCTGAACATTGGAGTGTCAGCAACAATCGTGCATGTCAGTTCAGTGCATACAGCGTAAGAGAAAATAAAATATTTGACATATACATTTATTTGGGAATATATTTAGTAGAACAGAGATGCTTATGTATTAGGCCAAACTACCCCCCCCCCCCCCCCCAATGTACTGTATATGTGTGTGTGTGAGTGCATTATGATTGTTATGAACACACCTATCCCCAAACACACACTGTTAAACACCCCCCCCCCACCCCAGATATTTTTTATTGCGGATCTACAAAAGAAAACGACCTCTCCAGAATCCATATGACAAAAATCCGTCGCAGTAACAGCGAACTTTAACCCCTGACTATACAGTGTGTATGTATGTATGTATGTATATAGGGGACTCACAAAGGGCCAGGAAGGCGTGCTGCGAGGCGGTGAGAACCAGGACCCGGCGCAAGACGTCCTTGTTGATGATGTAGTTCTTGATGTGGTACGTGTGGTGCTCCACACAGAACGTCAGCAGCTCCAGGATCAGCGCCAGCAGCTGAGACGTCTGGAAGTCATCTAAAGGGGGAGAGTGTTAACGGTGTGCGTTTGGGGGGAGGGGGGTGTGTGTTCATACCTATCATAAAGCACACACACACACATACAGTACAGTGGCTCATATGGAGTGTGTGTGTGTATAACTTTCAGTGAATGTGTCCATCATCATGATAATCAGAGAACTCACACATTTACAGTGGAACTTAAAATGTATGGTTTATTTGGCCAGGGACAGATACACGAACACATACATACAGGGGATTGATGGACTCACCTTTGCTGAGTTTGTCGTCCGTGGTGTTGGCCAGCAGAGGAGCAGAGAGGACGTGCATGCAGTGCTTGTAGAAGAAGCTCAGGAACTCAGTCTTCTCAGTTTTCTGCAGGAGGACCAGAGACAAACTGTTGCAAACAGGCGCTCTAGACCAGGGGTTCTCAAACCGCTCGTCTGGGACGCAAGGCAGTTCCACAGCTAGCACACCTGATTCAACTTGTCAACTAATCATCAAGCCCTTCATTAGATGAATCAAGTGTAGCTAGTTAAGGGCTACAACAAAATTGAGAAATGTCTGGGGGTCCCCAGAGGAGAGGTTTAAAAACCACTGGTCTAGAGGAAGTGCCTAGGGAGTTAATAGTTTTTGGCTTACACTGGGTTTGGGTTTTAAGTTGCGTTCACACCAAGTGATCTCCTTAGTTGCACATACTGGCATGCACCTAAATCTCTGTGTGAAGCCCTAGGTGCGGTGCGTGGTGGAGTCACAAAACAGTCACAGAGCCACTATGAAGTATGCCTAGTAGATTTTAAATCCAGCCCAGGGAGGAGCTAGGAGTCGATTCCAGCCACTATCTCAGGGTCAGAGGAGAGAGGTGTCGTCTCGGGGTCAGAGGAGAGAGGTGTGGTCTCGGGGTCAGAGGAGAGAGGTGTCGTCTCGGGGTCAGAGGAGAGAGGTGTCGTCTCGGGGTCAGAGGAGAGAGGTGTCGTCTCGGGGTCAGAGGAGAGAGGTGTGAGAGGCAACTAGACTTTTGTTGGCGATGACCAGCATGTTCCCGGGGTGAGGGGTGTTAGCTCAGGGTGAAAGGGGTAAGAAAGGGTGAGAGGTTAACAGGTAAGAAGCGAGGCGCTCTACTCACGTTGGCGGTAGCCAGCATGTTCTCGGGGTCCACCAGGGTGCGCAGCAGGCCCATCAGCTGCACGGCGCCACCCAGCTCGGGGTCCGTGTCACAGATCATGTGCTCGATGATCAGGTTGATCAGCAGAATGTCCTGGGAGAGACACGGTGGGAGATACAAGAGAGACTTTAGACAGACACCATTAGCACTGCTCCCCTAGGGACAGAACTAGGATCAGCTTCCCCTCCCCCAAGACGAACCTTAACCATTAGTAGGGGGAAATGCAAAACTGATCCAAGATCAGTGTCTAGAGGCAATATCACCACTAGCACTCATGCTACGTTTAAAAACATATAGGTGACTCAAAGAATGTCAGAAGTGGACTACCCAATGTTGCATGTCAGTTTGCTTGGCTGGCTGGTTTGAAGAACATGCTAGCTTAGCTACATCCAAAAATCCAAATTGAATATATATGGCGCTTTGTACAGCCAAACTTCCTAGCTAGACTGTAGGAGATGTTGCTAAACATATCCTGATGATAAACATTAAAATGAGCCTAGTTATTGTTTGAGTTAGCTTAAGACTATTCATGATGACTAACAGAAGGCAAAAGGTTAAACGTTTTAGGCATCATTGTCTCATTGCAAACAATGACATCAGGTTTCGTCCTGGCATGATGAGTCGCCTATGTGAACTCAGCATCATGCACAATGGTGGCGTTCCAGGTCATCTTTATTGCAGTCAAGCTGTACAAATTACCAAAGGATTCAGGATCACAATGCCTGTAAAAGTGTTTAACATCTCAGGAACCTCATTGATGGGACATAAGCCTAGAATTCTCCTGAAATGCACAGCAGCGCAACAGCAAAAACGACAACCTGGAACACCAGCACTCATAATGTTCCAACCAGGGGTTGGAACCAGTTCAGGGAACAGAACACCGGAAAATAACAACATTTTCAGGAACGGAAACAGAACCGAAAGTGATCTCTAGTGTTCCGGAACAGAACCCTTATTTTAAAATCTTGAGAACCGGGTAATAATGTTCCGATACTAGTAATGGCCTAAACATCATGATGTTCAACGCTTCAAGCCCGGTCCCCTCCATGTCCACCCCTGTTTATCGCTCTCTTCCCACCTCTGAAATGTCACTTGTATTACCAATCAAACACGTAAACAACTAGCTTACCCATTCCATAGCAAATTGCTCTATCCGCGCTAATTGCCTCAAGGGGCAGAACAAGATGTTCTTTAGAAACGACCCAGATGCCCATACGGTACGACCTCAAGAGATATTAACATGTTGGGAATGGAGGTCGATTGTCGATCGGAACACTGAAATATCCGTAACTTTGAAATTCACTTAAAAACCAAAACAAGCATTGATTTCATTTAGGCCTAGCCCAATACTGTGAATGTCTGATGCGTTTTAACACACGCAACATTTACGTTTGTCTATAGCCGATACAGAAGTCTGTTTTTTGTTTGTTTTATATTTGTCCCATTTCGATAGTCCATAACTCTGAGGTTAGCATCTCGGATGTCCTACTATGGGGGATGCATTCATTAGACGAAGACCGTAGCAGATTCAGTTCCAAACTTTTTTCAACGCAAACCGTTTACGCCAAATGGAAAACATTTTGCAATGACCCGTTTCCTATAGGACAAATTCAGGCAGGTCCCTCTCCGCTGAATTCCGTTTGGTTCATAGTAAACACATCCCTGGTATAGGGTGAAAGCTGTACTCACGTCGTCATTCTGCTGGGACTCCTGCATGACAAACTCTCGTACCATAGAGGGGTTGTACTCCACCAGATAGGAGAAGATATCGGTGGCTGCGCCGCGCACCTGCACATCATCCATCCCCTGATGGCACGCACACAGAACACAATGGAATAGAATATTAAGGAGTAGAACAGAGTAGACTGGAATAAAACAACATTATTATAAAGTAGTTAGTAAAGGAAAAAACATCTAAGTTTGTTAGTAATTGTTAAAGGCTGATGGCACCTTAGTACGCTGGTCAAAACGCTTGAATGGAACGGTCCCAAAAGTGCCTTTCCATTTCCAACCCTAATGCCCAAGCTTAATCAATTACATTTTGATTGATTGTTTTTATTCCAGTGTCATACACCTATTGGTGGGGCCAGCTCATTGGTGGCCAGCTTACATGGGCTTATAAGACACTATTATTTATTTACGTGCAGAAAACACAAAACTAAATTACATGACCGCTAAATACTGCACCAATCCCCTCTTCCCCAAAACACATGTAAATATTAAGACTATAAATTGTGGCTTCCTGTATTATACTGATGCTAAAATGTTTATTCTGTTCTACTGAGACATTTACTTTATGTTCGTATTCTCATATTTTATTATTTCTTATTGTTGTTGCATTGTCCAGAAGGAACCTGCAGGTAAGCTTCTCATTGGACGGTGTATGCCATACATACGACTAATAAAACTTTAAACTTACACACAGACCATAATCACGGCAAGAACAGCTGCCATTTTGTCACATTTTACAAACAATACATTTGTCCTTCTCCCCCAGACTATGACAAAATCCTCAAACACTTTCAAGTATTTGACATGTGTATGACCCAGGTCTGGAGTGCTGTGTGTGCTCTCACCAGTACCACCTCTAGTGCAGGGAGAACGCCCATGTTCGACAGCGTCTTGAAGAAGGCTTCTCTGTTTTGAGGTTGCAACGTCTGGGAGAAGGCGCAGAACTCCTTCAGGAAGTTTACCTGTGGGGAAGAGAACTTCATGTTAGCCCATGACTACTATACAGGGTGTCAGAAAAGTGGTAATATTTGACCATTTTGTCACAATAAACCCTTGTGCTTGATTGACATTATAAGGCCTGGTTATGAGACCTAGCTTGCTCGGGTATATAGTGGGAATCCGGCATTAGTGGCGTCTGTGCTGATGTCAGTTGGCGTACCAGTTCGTATCGCTTGTCGTCGTCTGTGGACTCGTCTGTGAGCTGTGCAAAGAGGTCGGTCAGGAACTTCTCATCATCCTGACCGGGAAGGAAAGAAAACCAAGAGAACACAAAGGATGAGAAGGAGGATAACGGGATAAAGTTGCACAAGGACACAGATCTACTGTCAGTTTTTGAGTTTGACTCCTAAATGGCTATGGTTAGAGTTGGAGAGGGGTAAAGCTGATCCTAGATCTGTGCCTATGAAGGCAATTTGTATCTGAAGCTTGCGTGGTAAATAGGTCTGCTGATGTTTAGCTGTCCCACCATGCTGCGTTTACACTGTGGTTGTTTCAATAGGCACGAAACAAGACCATTTTTTCCCCAAAAGGAAGAAGTACAACACTCATTTGAACTTTTAGTTGAAAAACGTTTTAGCTAAACACAACCCTGACTCACAGGGGACAGACTGGCCAGGTTAGAGCCGTAACAGGAAGTTGAAAACCTCTGCCTAGATAAAGGACCGTTATGAGAAGTCCTCATTAGCGATAGGGGAAAAATAGATTGTTACATATAGGCACATAATTTTTTACTTATATTGCAATATCATTTTTTCCGTTATCGCAATATTATTTTTGCGCTAATGGGCCGTACTGTGCCAAAACTCTTACATTCTATAGCGCGTTCTCTTCTTCTTTTCAGCACTTTTATTTCCATGACTGATCAAAACCTCGTTTTCGCATGGCTCTCTCGTCCCTCTGCAGCAGACATATAGCAATGTTTGGAACATTTAAAAATCGCAGAATCGGAACACATTTAGAATCGTAATATACTGAACAAAAATAGAACGATTTTACTGAGTTACAGTTCATAAGGAAATCAGTCAATTTAAATAAATTAGACCCTAATCTATGGATTTCATACGATTGGGAATACAGATATGCATATGTTGGTCACAGAAAGAAAACCAGTCAGTATCTGGTGTGACCACCATTTGCCTCAAGCAGTGTGACATAGAGTTGATCAGGCTGTTGATTGTGGCCTGTGGAATGTTGTCCCACTCCTCTTAAATGGCTGTGCGACATTACTGGATATTGGCGGGAACTTGGTCCAGAGCATCCCAAACATGCGCAATGGGTCACATGTCTGGTGAGTACGCAAGCCATGGAAGAACTGGGACATGTTCAGCTTCCAGGAATTGTGTACAGATCCTTGCAACATGGGGCCGTGCATTATCATGCTGAAACATGAGGTGATGGCGGTGGCTGAATGGCACAACAATGGGCCTCAGGATCTCGTCACGGTATCTCTGTGCATTCAAATTGCTATCGATAAAATGCAATAGTGTTTGTTGTCCGTAGCTTATGCCTGCCCGTACCATAACCCCACCGCCACCATGGGGCACTCTGTTCACAATGTTGACATCAGCAAACCGCTCGCCCACACAACGCCATACACATGGTCTGCGGTTGTGAGGCCGGTTGGACATACTGCCAAATTCTCTAAAACGACGGCTTATGGTACAGAAATGAATTCAATTCTCTGGCAAGAGCTCTGCTGGACATTCCTGCAGTCAGCATGCCAATTGCACACTCCCTCAAAACCTCTGTGGCATTGTGTTGGGTTAACAAAACTGCACTTTTTAGAGTGGCCTTTTATTGTCCCCAGCACAAGGTGCACCTGTGTAATGATCATGCTGTTTAATCAGCTTCTTGATATGCCACACCTGTCAGGTGAATGGATTATCTTGGCAAAAGAGAAAGGCTCACTAACATGGATGTAAACAAATTTGTGCACAAAATTTGAGAGAAATAAACTTTGTGCGTATGGACAAATTCTTGGGATCTTTTATTTCAGCTCATAAAACATGGGACCAACACTTTAAAATGTTGTGTTTATATTGTTGTTCAGTGTACATATTGTATCGGCACCCAAGTAATTCCTAGTCCTTGTCACAACAGTTTTACCATAGTTAGCCTAGTTTCAGAGTCAGCAAATTAACTTTGCTTATTGGACAAGCCCAGCTAGTCCCTCCCTGCTTCAGTCTGCTTTCTTCCCTTTGGTGCCTGATGAACACAGCCCATGTCTGTCTGTTTCCCCAACGCAGCATAACTTGTTTACAAAACACTCTGGCGTTTCTACGGAGACTACCAACAAGGCGGGGAGTTGACAATGCAAAAACAAACATAATTTCACCATAAAAGGGATTTGGCCGGCAGGGGATGTAGCTCAGTTGGTAGAGCATGGCGTTTGCAACGCCAGGGTTGTGGGTTCGATAAAATTATGTAAGCACTAACTGTAAGTCGCTCTGGATAAGAGCGTCTGCTAAATGACTAAAATGTAAATGTAATAAAAGCAGCCAATCATTGACAATGGGTACAGCACACACAAGACAAACTAAAAAAAAGCACAGGCTTACTGTATAGCAACAACACACAGTAGTCATCTACACTACACCTTATCTGGTGCCTCTGTACTTATACAATGGCTGAACATTTATTTAAGTTCCAAGCGGAGTGGTTAGGGCCAGGCTGACCAAGCAGTGGGGTTAGGGCCAGGAGAATAAACCTGGCCAGAGAAAACTCTGGGCTCCAGGTATGGTTCACAAAGGTTTATATAGCCTGTGTATAAGTCTCTGTACTTCATGTCATTTACCAAAGAGACTGGCCTTTCTGCCATCTTCAAATATGAACAGTCTAATTAATGAGCTCGAGGAGATCACCCTCACAGCTATCGTCCAATCACAACACGTTGGTATCCGGTTCCTAAGCAGTTTGTTTGTCCAGATGAAACCAGTCTGTCAAAAGTTGCTAGCTCACATCTAAATTCTCTAACTAAATACCACAAAATACCTTAAAATACAACAACTTGCCTAGCTAACAGCTAAATGTTTGCGCATATTGAATGTTGAGATTGCCAAAAGGCCAGTCTTTTCGCCAATGACAAGGAGACTTGTCAGACAGGGGTTTATATGGATATCATAAGAAAAATAAAACCAAAATAAAACCAAACGCAGAAATCGCTGACATTTCACCAGTACAGCACGCTCGCTGCTCCCCATGTGCATTACTTCCTCTGGCCTATGTTGTCCTGACTGTGTGTGCTCCCTCTGTGTCCTTATTTCAAATCAAAATCAAATAGTCACATGCTTGGTAAACAACAGGTGTAGACTAACAGTGAAATGCTTACTTCCGGGACCTTCCCAACAATGCAGAGAGAAAAATGTAAAAAAAATAAAAAAATACTAGCAAGATAATAATGAGGAATAAATACACAACATATTTGTGTTCACTGTGCATGCATGCCCCCTCCCCGTGTCCCCACCAACTCACCTGCAGCATGCCCACAATCTCCACCTTGTTGAAGAAGATAAACGAGTGCAACGTGGAGAGCATGTTCTCCTCGAACACCGACGGCGTGGGCAGCACCATGTCCTGGATGTACTGCACGCGGTACGTCTGGTGGATCTTGGCGCGCAGCTCAGGGTCGCCAATGGGGATCACCTCCTTGAAGCGGGCAGTCTTAGTGAGGAAGTCACGGTGGCGGCGGGGCGCCGCCCCCAGCGCCGGGTCGTGCTCCAGGCAGCCAATCACGTCCATGATGCACTCCTCGGAGAACATGACCTCGAACAGGGCAGTGCGGTTCAGCAGGAAGATGCCCTTGACAATCTCGTAGAGGTGGTGGAGGCCATCAGCGTTTTCTAGGACCTCACACTGGCGGAAGAGCTCCAGGAGCTTGCGGATGTAGCCCTCGTTCTCCACGGCCAGGGCCAGTTTCTCACGGCGTAAGGGCGAAGGGAGGGAGGAGGCCACAAGTTCGGCGAGCTCCTCGAGGCGGCCCAGCTCGCAGGGCGGGAGCTCGAGCCCCGGGGAGGACATGTCGTCGAAGCGCTCCTCCTCCGACTCATCCACCAGCTCCTGGGTGATGTCCACCGACGGGTCCTTGCCCTGGACCTGGTAGAGATGGGACGGAGACACAGGAGTCAAAAATCACATGAACAAACCAAGTTCTAACACCACAACATTAGGGGAGACACACAAGTCAACAGAGAGACACACAAGTCAAAACACAACACATGAAGACATTAGATATACACGAACATGCATGCTCTTACCTTTAAACCATACTTAGATTTTCTAAAATTCTAAGTATCTGCTGTTACTTTAAGTGAGTGCTAAACTATTACTACTTAATTATTAGTGGATTTTTGGCTTCTAGCCACAAGACCGAGTTGAGCATGTTCCACCTTAATCTAATACGTACACACACAACAAACGCGCACACACAGAGAAGAAAAGTGTGATTACCTGACAGATTTTCTCCCAGATCTCATCGCAGCCGGCCTTCTCCTGGAAGCTGAGGGCCAGGTCATAGTTCTCAGCCTCCGACCACACTATCAACGTGTCCTGATGGAAAGAGACAAAACAGCACTATTACCATCACAAATACACTTTTCGAATAAGACAGGAGACATTATACTAACATTCAAGTGTCTTCGTCTAGCAAGTGACTGACCTGTTGTTTCTGGTAGGCTGTGTTTGGGTTAATCTTCGACTCCAGCAGTAGGGAACCTGAGGGTGTGAAGAAACACAAAGCGTGTTAGCAATAACACCAAAAACTAACATGCAGCTTTGCACAAAGACTTCTAAAGCTGAGGTGGACGCAGCTCACTGCTGCAACAGGACGAGAGGGGGGGGCTAAATCGGGAGTTGTGTATCTCGGTCCCTCTTTGGGAGGCTGTGGGGGCAGTGTGATTATGTAACTGTAAGGCGATGACATACTGCTTGGACTGAGCAGTGTTTCCAACAGGGGCCTGGCTCAATACAACTGTGGAGGAAAGAGATGGGGCATGATATTCCATGATCACTTCTAGCTAGATTTTAAAAAAAAAGCTATCTGTTTATATATTTTAGTGCACATAGTATGAAGATTCAGGATCAGTGACTTGTATAGGACCTCAAGGGCTCAATGGACCGCCCACTCATTAGATATAGAGGCTCCTCTTTTGACTGTTTTCATAATAGCACACAAAAAACGAGGCTATGTAGTTTGTTTACAGTTAGCTAGCTAGGTGTTATCAACAACATCATCATCATCATGACATGATCAGAACAAATAGTATAGTAATCAATCAATGGTTGTGAGTATTAGTGAGAGTATGACAATACTTTTACCTGACTCACCATCGCTCTCCGCTCGCACCAGCAGAGACATGCCTTTCAGCCTCTCTACATAGCCCGAGGAGACGTGTCCCGTGCCGCGGTCGTCCCATTGTCTGTCCTCGTTGAGCGTATACACTTTGACTCGGCGGCGGGTGTCCGTCATTTTGGCAGGTGGTCGTGACCGCTTTCCCCAGCCGATTTCTGTTTACCTCGCACCAACTCTACCAACTGCCTAGTATGGTGGTTGTGAGGATCAACTACTGTAGATCCACTTAGTAAGTAGAGTTCAGAAACTATATTATCTAGCTAGTTATCACTGTTCGCTATTTGTAGCTTGCTACAGATGCTAGCTGGCTTCCACAAAACTTGTCTCGCGCAGACTAGAAAGGCTACGACGCGTCAACTCGCGCTGTCTAGCAGACCAGTTTGCTAGCTAGCTAGTTACACATTCTCCTTCAGAAATTAGCTACACGAACAGTACAATCATAGACCAAATAATACGTATGAAAACTATGTTCGAATGGGAAACATTCAGTGTAATAGTGTGGCTACGTTAGAGGACTTCAGCTATAGTACACTGAGATAATTGCTGTATGCTAGCTAGCTAGCTATCTACCGGAGCTAACTAGCTAGCACGTTAGCTAGCTAGTCGGCTAACTGCCTAGCTACATTCAACATCTTATGAAAACAGTACATTATTATACATCGACAAATACACCGGTTACACCGGTTACATTATTGCCCGTTTACGAACCGCAACCAGTGTCGTTCAATATTGCCCCCGACGTTTCCGATCAGCTATGTGGCTCTCTATAATACGTTAGCTGCTAGCTAGCTATTTATTTCCCAAGTGTTCCGCCATGTTCTGGCTCCGGGCCGCGGAGAAATCCGTCTCTCTCCTTACTGGGTGTCCTTGCATTTCAAAATGAGGCAGACCATCAAGTTGTAATCGTATAACTCCCCCAATGTTATGTTTCACATACTAACATTATTTGTCATTCATTTCAATCATGTTGCTTATCTAGATAATTGTTAACTGCACCCCCTGTGAGCATTCAGCCATCTTGGGTCCCTTCAGAAAGTCAGTACGGGGTTTCCAGCACAGCAACAACAGGGCAGCACAATAGTATTCAGCTGCATCCCCGCAGAAGCCTGTCACTAAACCCAATACTATCGCCATCTACAGGCCGTGGTTAATCCCTAGTACATACATGTGAACTCTCTTTCCTAGTTTAATTTACTTTCTTCCTTTCCTAACTTCCTTTCCTTCTTCAGTAAAGGGAGAAGGAAAGGAAGCTAGGAAACGAGGAAAGGAAAGGGAGATAGAGAAGGAGCTGAATACTATCCAGGCTCTGTCGTAGCCGGCCGCGACCGGGAGACCCATGGGGCGGCGCACAATTGGCCCAGCGTCGTCCAGGGTAGGGGAGGGAATGGCCGGCAGGGATGTAGCCCAGTTGGTAGAGCATGGCGTTTGCAACGCTAGGGTTGTGGGTTCGATACCCACGGGGGGCCAGTATGAAAAATAAAAAAATAATGTATGCACTCACTAACTGTAAGTCGCTCTGGATAAGAGCGTCTGCTAAATGACTAAAATGTAAAGGAGGAAGAGGTGGTAGGGATGGAACGGAATCTAAGAAAGGAGGAAAGGAAGCTAGGAAAGGAGGAAAAGATGGGGAGTTAGGAAAGGGAGCGAGGAAAGCGGGAAAGGAATCTAGGAAAGAAAATTAGTAAAGGAAGAAGCTAGGAAAGAGAGCTAGGAAAGGAGGAAAGGAGCTAAGGAAAGGGAAGAGCGGAAAGAGAAGCAGGGAAGGAAAGGACTTTTTTTTTTTTTTACACTGCTGCTACTTGCTGTTTATTATCTTTGCATAGTCACTTTACCCCTACCTACATGTACATATTACCTCAATTACATCGACTAACCTGTACCCCCACACATTGACTTGGTACCGGTACTCCCTGTATATAGCCTCGTTATTGTTATTTTATTGTGTTACTTTTTTTTTTAACTTTAGTTTATTTAGTAAATATTTTCTTAACTCTATTTTCTTAAAACTGCATAGTTGGTTAAGGGCTTGTAAGTAAGCATTTCGCAGCAATGTTGTATTCGGCGCATGTGACAAATAAAATTGCATTTGATTTGATTTGGAAAAGAAAGGGAGCTCGGAAATGAGGTTGGAAAGGGAGCTAGGAAATGAGGTTGGAAAGGGATCAAGGAAATGAGGTTGGAAAGGGAGCTAGGAAAGAGGTTTGGAAAGTGGAGGCAAGGAAATGAGGTTGGAAAGGGAGCAAGGAAATGAGGTTGGAAAGGGAGCAAGGAAATGAGGTTGGAAAGGGAGCTCGGAAATGAGGTTGGAAAGGGAGCAAGGAAATGAGGTTGGAAAGGGAGCAAGGAAATGAGGTTGGAAAGGGAGCAAGGAAATGAGGTTGGAAAGGGAGCTAGGAAATGAGGTTGGAAAGGGAGCAAGGAAATGAGGTTGGAAAGGGAGCAAGGAAATGAGGTTGGAAAGGGAGCAAGGAAATGAGGTTGGAAAGGGAGCAAGGAAATGAGGTTGGAAAGGGAGCTAGCAAATTAGGTTGGAAAGGGAGCTAGGAAATGAGGTTGGAAAGGGAGCAAGGAAATGAGGTGTGGAAAGGGAGCTAGGAAATTAAGGTTTGGAAAGGGAGCTAGGAAAGTAGGTTGGAAAGGGAGCAAGGAAATTAGGTTGGAAAGGGAGCTAGGAAATGAGGTTGGAAAGGGAGCAAGGAAATTAGGTTGGAAAGGGAGCTATGAAATTAGGTTGGAAAAGGAGAAAAGGAATCTAGGAAAGAAAATGAGTTCACATGTATGTGGTAGGAATTAACCATGTCCAGTAGATGGCGATAGTATTGGTTTTAGTAGCTACTTTTCCATCAATTTGTCCAGTGATTTTTTTGTTGACATTTAGAAAGTTCTCATAGAAAATTGATGCAACAATTTCCTGCTATGGTGCGTTTCCATTTAATTGTCTTGTGTCTGTAAAAACAGCAGGACGTAATGACGTCACACCTAAAAATACACATTTTGAAGTTTTCAATTATCCATTTAGGCAAATTGCGCATTAGTAAATTAGCGACAGCCTGTATGCCCTCCCACCTATCTGTTTCATGTCTCAGGTAGCCTGCAAAAGCCAGCATGGATAGAATGCAAGAATTGACTAATATTTACCATATTCTAGTAATTCTCATGTGCCAATTTATCGCTGCAGTCTGTGCCATCGTCCCCAGACGTCAGTGTGAAAATCAAGCCTTTCACCAGATTATGCGAATGGCCCCTCCACTGTGCCATGCGCCAAACCCTTGGCAACGGCAGCATAACCATGGGAAGTAGGGGTGCTGATGGTGCTGCAGCACCCCATGATAAATGAGAATACTTAATTTTTTTATTGACTATTTTTTTCACAAAATTAGTGCACTGGGCCTTTATTATGCCAGTATGAGTGGACCAAAATAGTTGTCTGCAGGGCAGGTAGAAATAATTATCTCCCCCCACCCCTAAACATCTTAGGAAGTTCTGGGAATTGATTGTCCTGGGGCATTTCAAGGAGAGCCTTTGGCTTCAACAGGGGCAGACTGGCCGTCTGGCATTTCGGGCAAATGACAGATGGGCTGGTCCATTTTTAGCCCAGTGGGCATGTCTAACTTATTTAAAAAATAAAAAAATATCCGGCTAATAATATGACTCAAGAAAAATAAATGGGCCTGTATGGGGGTCCCGAGAAAAAAAACGGTCCTGTGTGTTAGAAATGCCAAGGGTGATTTCTGATCCCAGTCTGCCCCTGACATTGGAGCATTTGTGTGAGATCATAGGACCATTTATTGCCTAGCCCCCGTGCTCCTGTACCGATGCGACCCCAGGCTGATGTTGATGTAGAAGGAGTACAAGTACCTCTGCTGATCGCAGGAGATCCTGCATATCCTCTCCTCCTGTGGCTGGTGAAGGGCTTCTCAGGGAGGAGGAGGACACCTTCAACCTCCGCCTGAATTGCATCTGAGTAGCTGTGGAGCACACATTTGGGGGAGATGGAGGATCCTCTCCAAACGCTCCGACATCCACTACACCTTAATGAAAACCGTGGTCTTGTCATGCTGTGTGCTGCACAACCTCTGCAAGGGGGAGAGGCAGAGATTTCTCCAACCGGATCTTGGTGAGCGCCAAGAGAATCTCTACGACGCATAGCCACCTCGCCATCGACACCAAGGCACACCAAACGATGTGGCAAACATGATAAGAGATCCTCTGGTGAGACACCTGGAAAATATGGTAGTCTAAACAGCTAACCAAATCATCCTTTGTATTCTTATTTGTCTTGTCAAATTTCATTTCCTCAAACTTTGTTTTGTAACATGCAGCCGTAATAATCTTTTCATGTCCTTTTGGGATGTCTCTAAGTAAAGGAATAGAGCCCCCCTTGCCTATTGTGGGCCAAAAACAAATGTATTGGGACTGCAATTTTGTGAAGAACCATGACACTTATTTCAGGTTGTTGCAATGCCATTATTATTTCGAAATATGTCCAAAAAACAAAAGCATTTGCTAGTATTTTAAGATTATTTAATTTTTTGAAAATAAAGACATTTGAAAAAAAGTTATTTTTCAAGTTAAATTGATTGAAGCGTGATTGATCACTCCAGGGAACGTGCATCCACTGCTCCAGAGTCCAATGGTGGCAAGCTTTACACAACTCCAGCCGATGCTTCGCAATGCGCACAGCTATTTAAGACACACCCGTTGCTGACAGGTGTATAAAATCGAGCACACAGCCATGCAATCTCTGTAGACAAAGATTGACAGTGGAATGGCCAGTACTGAAGAGCTCAGTGACTTTCAACGTGGCACCATCATAGGATGCCACCTTTCCAACAAGTCAGTTTGGCAAATTTCTGCCCTGCTAGAGCTGCCCCGGTCAACTGTTAGTGCTGTTATTGTGAATCGGAAATATCTAGGAGCAACAACGGCTCAGCCGCGAAGTGGTATGGCCACACAAGCTCACAGAACGTGACTGCCAAGTGCTGAAGCGCGTAGTGCGTAAAAATAATCTGTCCTCGGTTGCAACACTCAATACCAAGTTCCAAACTGCCACTGGAAGCAACATCAGCACAATAACTGTTCGTCAGGAGCTTCATGAAATGGGTTTCCGTGGCCGAGTAGCCGCACACAAGCCTAACATAACCATGTACAATGCCAAGCGTCGGCTGGAGTGGTGTAAAGCCCGCCGCCATTGGACTCTGGAACAGTGGAAATGCGTTCTCTGGAGTGATCAATCACACGTCACCATCTGGACGAATCTGGGTTTGGCGGATGCCAGGAGAACGCTACCTGTTCGAATGCATAGTGCCAACTGCAAAGCTTGGTGGAGGAGGAATAATGGTCTGGGGCTGTTTTTCATGGTTTGAGCAAGGCCCCTTAGTTCCAGTGAGGGAAAATCTTAACGCTACAGCATGACATTCTAGACGATTCTGTGCTTCCAACTTTGTGGCAACAGTTTGGGGAAGGCCTTTTCCTGTTTCAGCATGACAATACCCCCGTGCACAAAGCAAGGTCCATACAGAAATGGTTTGTCAAGATCGCTGTGGAAGAACTTAACTGGCCTGCACAGAGCCCTGACCTCAACCCCATCGAGCACCTTTGGGATGAATTGGAACGCCGACTGCGAGCCAGGCCTAATCACCCAACATCGGTGCCTGACCTCACTAATGCTCTTGTGGCAGAATGGAAGCAAGTCCCCGTAGCAATGTTCCAACATCTAGTGGAAAGCCTTCCCAGAAGAGTGGAGGCTGTTATAGCAGCAAAGGGGGGGACCAACTCCATATTAATGCCCATGATTTTGGAATGAGGTGTTCGACGAGCAGGTGTCCACATACTTTTGATTATATAGTGTATGTTGTATCTACATAGGCCTTATTATATGGGCTAGCCAACCCATTTTCTGCATTGCTTCAGTTAGTAGCAAAGTAAGCTACAGCCTTATGATAAGCCAATGCCAACCTAAAAGTTTAATTTCTTAAGAGGAATTTATACATAGGCCTACCTGTAGGTATACTCTCCAGGTTGTCATCCTCCTCCTCGTCCCTCAGGGCAATTGTCATCACCTACGTGGAGAT